GGGATGTACAGAAGAAAGGAAGGAAGGAAAAAAGAAAGAAAGGAAGGAAGGGAGCAAGGGAGGAAGAGAAGGAGAAGTACTACATGTAGTTTATGTAAATTCAACAGGCAGAAAACGGACAGCCAACTAAAAAGTAACCGAAGGGCTGCAGACATAACTAAGTTAATAGAACACTTGCTTAACAAACACAAAGCCCTGGGTTTAATTCACAGCATCAAATATACCCTGTCAGGTGGAACTCAGCTGTAATTGTACCCCTCAAGATATAGAGGCAGAAGAACCAGGATTTCAGGGTCATCCTTGGCTATATGGTGAGTTGGAGGCCAGCCTGGGATATATGAGACACACTCAGAAAGCAACCAACCAAACAACCAACAAAAACCAAAAGACTTGAATATCTGCCAAGAACGTAAGTAAATGACGAGTAAGAATGTGGATTCTTATTCAGTATGATTAGCCATTTGGGGACACAAGAAAACTATCATATAGCAAAACCATACTTCCAGCAGAGAGGTTAATGGTCAAAACTGATGGTGCAACCATCATCAGAACACCAGAAGCAATGCCGCATGATGAGAGCTGTCATACGTCACGGGCAGAAAGGCAAAATGGCAAAACCACTCTGAAAACAGCTTTCCATTTGCTCTCCTATTAAGAAAAGCAAATCTTCTTGCCATGTGGATCCAATCACCTAATTTCCAGACATTTAACCTAAAGCAACGAAAACTTCTGTTTATACAAAACCTACTCCTTAGGGGTTTGAGCCATCTTAACAACCATTTTAACCTGGCAACAATCCAGGTACCTTTCAGTCGTGGAATGGAAAACAGCCACGGGCTGGAATGCAGCTCAAAAATAAAAACCAACAAATGACCGATCATCCACAAGACAACTTGAATAAATCTGAAAGACGTTATGCCCAGCGGAAGTGGGCTGCACATTGTTTGATTCTGTACCTGTGGAATCCTCAAAGCCACAAACCTAAGGTGATCAGTGGCTGGCAGATGTCGGGGGATGAGAGTAACTGAGGACAGTGGGGTGGTTCACAGGGCAGCACTGTGGAGGAAAATCAGTGACACACTAATCTGTGTCCTGGTGATGGTGATGTAATTTACACTTACTTTAGAACTCACGCACTGTGCCGGAAGAAACAATGTTGCTGCATATTCATTTCAAATAGGAATAAAACAAAAACAAACTGTGGCAAATACTCAGTACACAGTTGCCAACATAAAAATACAATTCCGATCACTCTACTTACTGCCCTGCTGTATTATAATTGCACTGTACTCAACTCAATTAGGTCTGCCCTGCCGCTGGTGTGTTCATTTCCCCAGGGCAGAACTTAGCCTTTTGATCTCAATGTCTTTAAGACCCCAGAGTATCTGGTGTCTGAAGTAAATAGTGTTGAAAGATGAAAATGATGAGTCAAACATACATGGATCACATTATTTCATTTTTATGCTGGAAGATCAAGGAAGAAATAGAACCCAGTGCTAAAGGGTGAAAGAATTCTAGAAAGCCTCATTTTGAGGCTTCATATGCTTTTTTAGCAGATGCTAAGTGGGAGCAAGTGGCTGAAGGTTTTAGCACTATTGTTCACAATTTAAGAAATAAAGCGTGTATGTGCCTTTCAGTGACTACTTCCCTTTGAAGACGCTTAATCACATAAAGCTTACTAATTCTTCAAACTACATTGTAGAAAATGTGCATGCAAATATTCTCAGCTTAGCATTGTCTTATTTAGTGAATGGAGCATTAAAGGCTTTTGTTTAAAATCCATCAATTCATATGGGGCCACCTAAGATCAAAGCATTACATAACATTAGGAGCTGGAGAGATGACTCGGTGGTTAGGAACGCTTATGTGAGGAAGCTGAGCTTGAGTCTGGCACCTAAGACAAGATCTCCTGATAAGTGATGGATGCAGATGCAGAGATCCACAACTAACCACATGGTCTTGACCTCTTTGCTCATATTGTCACTCCTCCCTCTCTTGGACTGGACCATGATGGGGAAACCCACAAAGACAGCTGATCCAGGCTAGTGAGAGCTCACCAACTCCCGACTGACAGCTGCATAACCTACATAGGACCAAACTAGACCCCTTGAATGCGGGTGACAGTGGGTGGCTTGGCCAGTTTGTGGGGCCACTGGCAGTGGGTCCAGGATCTATCCCTAGTACATGATCTGGCTTTTTGGAGCCCATTTCCTATGAGGAGATACCCAGCTCAGCCTAGACACGGGGGTGGGGGGAGGGAGGGCCTTGGCCAGGCTTCATTGTGGTGACAGTACAGACTTCCTTGACTTCCCATGGGAGGCCACACCCCCTCTGAGGAGTGGATGGAAAGGGGGAGCGAGATGAGGGGAGGGAGAACTGGGGTTGATATGTAAAACAAAAAGGTAAATAAACCCGTAAGTTCTTAATAATTTTCCATTGTATTGTGTATTGTGAGTAAATGATCTCAGAATGGAGAGAGAGAGAGAGAGAGAGAGAGAGAGAGAGAGAGAGAGAGAGAGAGAGAGAGAGAGAGAGAACAAATACTGCTTTTGTGGAGGGCAGGGGTTCTGTTCCCAGTGCCCACATCAGGGTGGCTTAAAGCCACTGGAACTGCAGCTTCAGGGGACCCTGTCGTCCAGTTCTGAACTCCATCGGCACTTGCATTCATGTGCACATACCTACACACACACACACACTCACACTCACACACACTCACATACCCACACACACACACACACACACACACTCACACAACACAATTTACAAATAATAAAAATAAATCTTTAAAATATTCCACAGTGCTGAAATTGTGTGTGTTTGGATTTGAGTTTATGGCACAACTCCATTGTCTCTCCTGCTTATCCCCACATTAAAAAAGTTACCAGGAAACCAGTGAAAAGGATGCTTCGGACCCTTTCAAGGAGGCAGCGTTAGCTTTAGGAGCAGCTGAGAGGCCCCTCCAAAGATCCAAAGAGCATCTGTTTAAGACAGGTTCCGAGAGAATCAGAAAACAAAGCCAGCTCAGTTCAGGGCACCGTGTCTGGGCTGTCACAGGATCAAAGCACCGTTACCAAGCCGAGAATGTCTGGACCTCTCCAATAGCAAGGGTAGAAAAGGCTACGCCACCGCCTCTTTGTGATGTGAAGGTACAAAACGAAACGCTGCGCTTGGGTCCTCTCCATGTCTTTGCTCTATTTGAGAGAGTCTACCACCTGGTTTCCATATTCCACCAGGCGGTCCTAAGTTTTATTGCACAAATGCTCCCACACGTTATTCCAAGCAGCAATATCTACATGCTGCAACAGTATGAGGCAGACATGAAATATTTTCATATTAATGCTGTAGTTTTATAGTCACCACACCTAGTTTCTGCTATACCTATGGGAATGGATACCATTCACCTCCCTGTAGCAACCCACTCCCAGAGTCCACAATAAACAGTCCCACATAAGATCCATAGCTACAGTGTCAAGACAACCCTTCTAGGGACAGGGAGCCAGCCACCCTCACATCCATTCTGTTCTTGAGACCCTCATTTCTTTGATCTCTGTCGGTGGGGCCATGAAAAGCATGATCGAAGACTGGCAGCCAGTTTTTATTTATTTTTTTTTTTTAAGACACGTTTACCGACGAGCCTACAGAATGGAGAATGTTACCGTGCAAGTGTCAGCAGATTGGGAATGAAACACCATTGCCCTATTGAGTTTTGATTGTTTAGTTAGAAGCCTCGTGCTCCATACAGGCACTAAGTGGCTGTGCTGATCACCGACTAGATCTCTGGCATGCAACAGTGCCTGGAACTCAGCCGCCGAATAAAGACGCATTCTTCAATTAATACATAGTTCTAATCAATGGGAATCTGTAAGATTATTGCAGTACCAATAGATTTCAGACTTTACAAAAGTTCCTCATACATATTTATTTTCCTACTCATTTACCCGGCTAACCAACTATGGCTTGGTTTCGCCATGCCCTGTCAGGGTCTGTGAATAAATAGGTCTGGAACACAGAGATTCATGAGACCAAATTGCCAATCACCTTAAGTAGGCCAAGTCTGGTGTGGGTTATACACAGATAGAGTTCAGGTAATGCAAACCAAATTAAATTTTATAAACTATAACAGATTCATCAATAGTCAATTCCAGTGAGTTATGATGGACTCTGATAGCAACAATCAAGGGAGAATTCTAGAGGAATACGCAGACTCCAGAGAGGTGGAAAGGCAACGTGAGTTAGAATTTCAGCCTATGACTTGTTATTCTGTGACCTGGGAAATGTATACAGAGGAGAGAGTACTATTACCTATGCATGGTATCATCTTGAGAATAAATTACTTAACAGACGCAAAGTGCCTAGCATAGTACTTGAAGCTTGGTAAACAGTAGGTAACACATATTATTTGGGGCAAGGAAAGAAAGACAAATCAGTATTTAGCACAAAAAAAAATTCCTAAAACCAATATTTCCATTTGTTTATCTAATTTCACCAGAAAAAATGAAAACACCCTGGAGTGCATTGGACATAAACCTCTAAATACACACAATAACACATTTCTGCTCACTCAGTGACTGCTCAGGGTCACTGATTACTGTGTAACAGTTGTGGAATTTTGGCACAAAAACATGAGCCCCACACATAATGTTAGGGCCATAACATATGCTTCCTCAAACATATCTGTAACGATATGGTCTAACCGTTGAATCAAACTCTGGAAAAGTCATGACGCTTAGCAGAGACTGTTACACCAACCCACAAAACCATGGGCCCTGAGCATCTCATAAAGATGAAAGTGCAAACGCATAGTGTGAGCGTTCATACAAAGCACAAAGAGCTCTGCCGCTCCATTTCACATAAAACGAGGGGTATGAGAGCATCTAGGGTGAGGTGGGCCCCTTCTCTGAGCAGCGGGCCTGTGGAGGAAAGGGATGCCGCAGGTGATCTACCCCTGAGGAGGAGAAGTTGGGGGAAAGAATGTCAAAACAGAATGGCGCTGTACTCACATGGTGAAGGAGCCGGGGGGAGCAGATACTCGCCGTAGGTCCGCAGCTTGCACCTGATGGATGCTAGAGGCAGCAGGGAATGGGCAGCGAAGACAGAGTCAGCAGGACAGCGTGGACAAACAAGGAACAAGCCGGGGAGAAAAAGAGAGACATACAGAGTTTAAACGGAAATTAAATGAGCGCATCACCAACAGCGATGAAAAACAAAAAGCAACAAAGCCAAACAAACGAAAAGTAAAACTAAGAAGGAAATCAAGCCAGCCATGGAAATAATCAAATAATCCAGGGAAGCCGGTGATATAGCAGTGAAACCAGCAGGACACACAGAAGCAGCTAGCTCCAGGCAAGCCACAAAACGGAGCGCAGGGCCGAGGAGAGAGGGTGGGCAGTGCGCACAGGACTCATTGTCAATGGCACCTTTGTTCCAGGACATTCGGGACAACTCAAGGGCAGAGGCACCGGCCTCCACATTGGAGTGGGAAGCTAGCACCACCGACTCCTGCTTGAGGAGGTGAGCTAACGTCATCCGTGTACCTTGCCATTGAGAGCCATCTTGAAAAAAAAAAAAACGGACTCAACCACCTTGAGTTTCCTTCGGCTAATAGCAGAGGCTTTCTAAAAACTCTAGCCATAGTTTTTTTTTTTTTTTTTTTTTTTAATTCCATTTTCACCCCCCAGATGCCTTAACTTCACCCATATTCTATGTACCAAAGTGAAACACATAAACAGGAGGGGAATCCCCAAAGCTATCAGAAAACAGGCGCTGCACAGTTTAACAAGCTGAAACCCCAGACTCACTCAATTCTGCATCACCCTCTCCCTCTCCCATTTAAGCTTCTCTAACGCCTGGCAACAGCTCCCCAGATTCTCTGTCTACCGGGTACACACATTCTCACGAAGAATGACTCAAGGTCACCCATGACTCAACTTCATTGCTCTGCCCACGTTATCGCCAAAGACGCTGTTGAAATCACTGGCAAGCCTCAGTAGCAAGGATGATGGAAGCCAGTTGCCTGATTCAACCTAACTAGAACTCTTTGCCTTTGTACAAAATGATCATCTTTTTGCATTTGCTAGCGAAGTTAACCGTAACAGCTGAAGACCTCCCTTGCCCACCAGTTATTTTAAGCTTCTAGCCTCCTTCAGCGGTGATTCATAATACAGAACATAATGAGACAGCTTGTGGAGAAAATATTTGTTGGACTCCATAGTGTGTGTAGATTCTTATGTTACAATAAAATAAAGTATGCTCCCTTGCCAATATGGAGTTAGTGAACACATTTTATTTTGTATATACTAATGAAATTGGAATTACTTCCTGGAAAATATTTTTTCCTTTCATATTAAATATGCACAGAGTGGCATCATGAAGGACTACTACTTAGCTGTCTCTCATGGAGGCCCCTTCCAATTATCCATGTAATCATACCTAAATGATTCAACATTTGTCCTATACAATATATTGTAAAAACATATTCTCAGAACACATTCTATATTATCTCTATGTTCATGAGATTTCAGATAGCTGTTATTTTGTTAATAGTTTCCAAGAAATGTAGCAGAAATAGAGGTATAATGGGGTCTACTTGTGAGTCACTGATTCAATATTTGTTCGTGCCTCAGAGACATTGACAGGAGCAGCCTTTCTAAGAGGAGAAGCCTAGGGGCAAAGGTAATGGGATGAAGCTGTCCAATACAGCTGTGAAGATAAGGAACATGGGCTTTCCACTGTTTGGAAGACCGTTTTTAATTGGTGCAGAGGAGAAACCATCTTTCTGAAGAGGGGCAGCAGGGTGTGTCCTGGGGAACAGAGGGGATGGGGTGTATTAAAGATTTGAGAGACGAACGTGCCAGCTGACCTGTTCAGTGTAGAAAAGGGGAGGTGAGTGGAAAGGCTCCAGGGGCCAGGGGCAAGATGAATGAGCACACGAGTAAAGAGCAGACTCAAGTGAATGAGAAGAAGGGAAGCCACGCACCGCACACGAGTGGCAGAGCTAAGAATCTGGTACTTAGTATGCAACCTAAGGTTGCCACAAAGCCTCATTAAGGAAAATACTGTCAGTGACAATGTTTGAGGACTAGTCTTCAGTTTTTGAAAAGAGTCAGGGCTGAAGTCTCAGATCTAAGATCCCAACATCCCAAAGAAAGAGAAGATGTATGAGACACACAAGCCTTCAGGAGAAGAAGTAGTTATTCAGGGAACCACAGTATTAAAATAGCAAGTCTTACCAGGTAACATGAATGAAAGGAGCTAAATTCCTTAGATGAACCGAGCAGCCACCATCCCATCATTGGGAACACATACATACCCATGCATATGCACACACATACATGCACACACACACACACACAAACACAAACACACACACCGGCCTTTGAGATAAAAATTTTATGACACTGTAAACTACTTGTCTGCCTCTTCTAGTAAGAAAATTAAGCAAATGAAAGTTTAGTTTATGAGAGAGAGAGAGAGAGAGGGAGAGAGAGAGAGAGAGAAAGGAAGGAGAAGAAAGCAAGGAAGTAAAGTGAAACAAAGTAGACAGGAAGAAAGGGAGGCAGAGAAATAAAGGAGTAAAATGCTTTTTAAATATTTAAATATCTCTTCCATCATACAATGGTGGACAAGGGAGAAAGTTCAAAGTCATAGACAGCTAAATAAAAGGTCCGAAAATCAAGGCTGACTTTAAACTTGACACTCTTCTTGGAGATACAGAGGAAGAAGTTACATCTAAAATCAGAGAGAGAAAGAAGTGTCTTATAATCAAGTAGAAATAAGCTAAGTGCAGAGATGAAAAAAAGATTAAGGAGAGAGAGAAAGCCAGGTTTGGTGACAAGCATGATGTGGTAATCAGGTTTATTCCCTTTTCTTTCAAAATGCATTATCAGTACTGATTTCCTTAAGATACAGGGTTGAGTAATAATTTTATATATAGTGGTAGAATGTTTACCTTCCAAATTTTAATTGTGTTTTTGAAAAGTGAATAGTGTGCTCTGACTCCTACTGTATATGCTCTCCTGTGTGACATGGGGCTATTATGATAGGAATGCTGCCCCAGGTAAGAAGTGCCAGCATTTTTCAGATAAGGCTGCTCAGGACACCTGTGCAAGGAATGTCATATGTCACACATGCCATGAGGACAAAAAAAAAAAAAAAAAAGCAAACTATGTCTATTTATTTTGCACATAAACAAAGCCAAATGAGCTCTAATCAATTGGATTACCCAGGGAAGACATTTTTTTTTCTTGACAGAAGCGTAAGAGTTGTTTGAAACTGAACACTTGAAAACAGTTTTACATCTAAGAAGGTCATGAGCCCCGTACCCTTACTTCAGCAAACTCATTGAGCTTTATTCTATTTTTTTCATAGATGATCTACAGGTGACCTAGGCACCTGGGCCACTGTACAAATTCAGAGGAAGCTTCTATTCATTCATTCTTAGATTTTTGCCAATGATGGTTTACCATCATGTCTAGAAGACATATGGAGAACCATGTTCACCTGTTGACATCTTGTCTTTTTGAACTTATAAACTCAGCAATTAAGCCTTCACCCTAGAAGAAGGAAAAAGCAGCAAGGGCAGAAAGCACCAGCAATGCGCCAAGAGTTCTGCTAGCTGCAAAATGTAAATAAAGCAAGAACCATCAACTCAGAGTAAAGGGAGTAAACGGGAAGCTGTAGGAAACAACCAGGACAATGTTCCAGGAAGTCCGGACTCCAAGAGCAGAGGAAACGGACTTCTCACCCCAGCCTCCAACTTAGAAGCGTATGCCAAAAGCTGCAGTGCCTGGAGAGCGCTGTCTCTCGCTCTTCCCAAGCATATGCCGCCACAGAGAGAGGCGACAGGAGCTGTGGTACCTGCGTCATCAGATATTCTGGGAACTTTTGCAGATCCTCACCTTGACTTCAGGAACACATGGCAAAGCATGCCCTTGCCTTGCAGGCACCACCGGGAAGCTAGCCATTCAGTACAATAAGTAACCATGCAGCACAGAGAGCAAACGGGAGGTGCACCTTTGACGGCCCTCACTGTGACAGAGAACGACCCAAGACTAAGCCCTGAAATGGCCTTACACATGATGGCATGATATCTAGAAGATACTAAAAAAGATAACTCAAATCTTATCTTCTCTCTACAATCCCAAGTACACAATTAAGTCACCAATTTGAGTAAAGTACACTAGAAAGTGAACATATGTTCTGTGCTCCATTCTGAATTATTGTCTTACCTTGAGTCAGCTTATCAAAATGACTAAAAAACAAAGAAAAAGTATAGAAAGGAAGGGATACCTGGTGTTTAAAGTAGTTAGTGAGTCGAATTAAGGATGGACAGTAGATGCTGCCTTGGAAGGCAAACTTGAGTTGAAGCATCAGAGGTCATGGGTCCCCAAATGGGAAGGTGGGGAAAGGGACAGTCTCATTGATGGACAGAAAGAAATGCAACATAAAAGGGGGCTAGTGATAGATTTCCCTAAACCAAACTAAAATTAAAACCAGCTCATCTACCTTATACCCAGCAAAATTTATCCAAAGGTCAAACAACTATCAAATAAAAGGCAAATGGACTTCATGTACTCCCATGAGAGCAATCTAGGGCCCATGTTGCTGTTCTTGACTTTTCTCCCCCTTCCAACACAGTGAGGCCCCCAGACCATGCACATGCTCTGCCATCTGCTTCCCAGTGTCTCCATGGCGCCCGGGAAGGCCAGCCACGACTCACTCATTGAGCAGAGGCATGGAGGTCCTCCGCTTGCTCTTCTGTACCATGCTGGCCTGATTCCTCAGGGAGATCCGAATCATGGCGGGCGCCAGCCTACATGGTTCCCCGTCTACTTGCATGGGAATGGACTTGTAAGTCAGAAGCATCACTTCCCGACACTGGTGCAGCCTTTCTCCGTGGCCCCCAACTTGCAGGGCAGCCTATCCAAACAAGGCAAAGAGGAGCCAAGAGTCAGTGACTAGTATTTCAGGGGGTCCACACCTACATCCATTGTAGATAACCGAAGGCCTTTGACAACATCAGTAAAACTCATTAGCCCCTGGCATGGCAAGAGCTTGAAGAAACCATCCCTCAAATGAAATAGATATGCAAAGCTTTCTGAGGAACTGTGCCACAAATTCCCACAGATAACCACTTTCCATTTTACACAGTGGAAATCTAAATGTAGCTTTGCCAGTAAAAGGATGAATACATTTTTACGTGTCTTGCATGTTGGGGTTGCATGCATATTTGGTACATGTAGAAGTCAGAGGACAACTTGCAGGAGCGGATTTTCTCCTCCCACCATGTAGGTCCCAGGAGTTGAACAGTCAAACTTGGCAGCCTTTATCAGATGAGCTATCATGACAGACGTCATGGCAAATAATTAACACAAAAGCTTTCCTTTATATTATCTATTCCTGTTAAGTAACTAGTGTCAGCATGATTAAAAAAAAATAAACATAAAAGGCAAAGCACATTTATGCCAACTTCTAAATTTCATTTACTAATGGACTAATGGACTAATTTACTAATCCCTAGGTAATTTTAAAACTCAGACAAGATTTTTCTTTTTAACTCAAGCCTCTTTAAACTATTTCAAACCTCTTTTAGTAAATACAGTGATTTTAAAAATAAAAAAGTGGGCTATTCAATTTAAGACATTCTGAAAACTTTAAAGTCTAAAATCTAACCTCGAATAATTGTGAAATCAACTCTGTAACTAATTTTGAAAAATCATTGCCCAAAAATAGTTAGAATAATGTGAAAGAGTTAAAAAAAAAAAGACAATGGATCTCTTACTATCCTTATTAGAAACAGAATCAAAATATTTTTTAAAACATGTCATTAAAATGTTAGCATCCATATACCAACAGAGATGATGAATGGGGATGTGCAGAGAAAAATACACTCATCTTCCTGAGGACATGACATTATGCCCTGGGCTCCTTAGGACCAATAGCACCATCTAACCCCACTCTCCTTCTATCAGCAGAAGTGGCAGAGGTGCAGCTCGTGACGTTTGAGCAGGCGATCTGCAGGCTGTCTTTTCAGTGCCTCTACACCCCCTAATTAATCTTCCGTGATCTAATAGCCTCTGCGCACCTAGCCCATATGGGTTCCCCTCTGTGACACACTACGCCAGTCAAGAAGAAAGAAATCCTACCTAGATGACTAGAAGTGGTACACGATGTCCCACACAAGCTCTGGCAGTCAGTCCCTCTCCACAGAGATATGCCATTAAGTTGTACTCCGTTTCCCCCATTTCATCAAGAATTAAACTGAACACCGGGATGTTGGAAAGTCCTATTGCACTAGATGATGTAGAAGCCTAAACAACAACAGTAGCAGGAGCACTTGCCCAATGAGTGTCCACATAATTAAATGCTTACAGGGGAACTAAGCTCACCTCCCTTTCCTCAGATGTGAACTGATCTGGGTTTATTGTTATGATCTCTTTCAGTGCTAATATTTTATGACTCTAGGTTGTGCCTATAATTAAACAATATCATGCTCTGTAATACAACCCCCCCATCTAGAATCATGCCTCTGTCTTTCTCTCTATCTGCCACAGTATTAATGCCCAGTCATTGCCAAAATAAAGTGGAACAATTTAAGATAGGTGGGGAGTTTATCTGAAAACTCTCCTTCTATTCATTGTATAAGAGATCTAAAATTCACTAATAATTTTATTGATAATGTGTTTGCACATCCCCTTACAATGACAAGGTAAAGACTTTGAAAAAAAATCTAAGTACTCTTTTTCCCAGAGACCACTTGTATGCGTGTGCCTTTTTCATCTTTGTTCAATAGACTTAGATTCCGACAAGAACTAGTCAGACTTGGGAGGCAGAGGCAGGCAGATCTCTGTGAGTTCAAAGCCAGTCTGGTCTACAAAGTGAGTTCCAGGACAGGCTCCAAAGCTATACAGAGAGACCCTGTCTTGAAAAACAAAACAAAACAAAATCCAAACAGAACTAACATAGGTCATAACAGGACAAAAATGAAAGAAAAATGCCTGATCAATTTCACTGTCTTCAGAAAGACATTAACCTGAAGATCTATGGCACAATTTAGGGGAAAAAAATCTCTATGCTTTAAAGCTACTTAAAGAAATAATTGTTACTGAAAAATTGGATAAGACAGATTTGTATGAATCTGGGAAGAAATACATCCTATGGATATTTTCAACTCTCAACTATTATTTGTCATTTATAGTAGACATGTTTTGTATCTTGTAAAGGAAGAATTGAAAAAGGTAATGTTAAAACAACATGTACTAGCTAACAATAAAACAGAATTTAGATTATATTCCATAAATCATCTACTCAGTAGACAATCAATGGAACTTGACATACAGAGGGGGAAAAAAAACTATCCATAAGGAAAGTAAAAATGAAATTATCTCACAGTAAAGCTTACTAGCAAATTTTATCCTGCAGTAAGAAGCAGGTCACTGAAGGTGGAAACAGATCAATAGATACCACCAACCTCAGTAGCACAGACAGGAATGCTTCATCATGTCCACTGCCTGTGAGACAGTAACTAGCAAACTCTTTAACAGAACCCACCGAGAAAGGATAATAGAGCAGACAGCACACAGATAAAAGTCAACCTTCAGTTTCATGGAAATCAATGGAGCTAAAACAGGCTAAATACAAAGAAAGCCACCGCAGTGTGCAGAGCAATGCCCACGCCACCATCACCAAATGCACCTCGCGTCCTAAGTAGGAAACCCGCACACAGCAAAAGCACATTTTCCAGTATGAGTAAACAAAGGGCATGAAGGAAGAATAATTGCCTTGGTTTACTGGAGTGAGTACAATGCAATCACAAAGGTCCTAGCAAGGGAAAAGCAAAGGGAGAGGAGAGAGCTGAAGAGAGATGGCATAGGGACACAGAGCAGCAAGGACAGGGCACCAGCCAAAGAATGCAGGAGAACGTTACTCCGCCTTTCGCTGCTGCACCAAAGACTTCCATACAAATGCATATAAACCACAACTATAGGGTCCAAGGCCAGTGTTTGTGGATACAGTCTGTTTATAGACTCGTGGAGAGGGGGGAATCATTCCCTTCACACCCATCAAGTTCCAATGGACTGTTCCAGTCTAATGGTGAACCATTCATAAATATTAAAAATATGGATCTTTCATAAGGTAAAGTGTAATAATGGAGATATAAGCCTGTCCTCACTCTCCCTTGTGGTGTTTAGTAGGCTATAACTATTTGTTTCAGAGTTCTGCAACTTCAGAAGGTAAACCTAACTCCTTCATGCATTAATTGTTTTCCATAACCACTTTTATTATCTGCAGTTTTGAGTAGTCTAAATCAGCTCTTATCACTCTGCACATTATGATTGTGTCAGCAAATGTTAAAGAAAGTGGATTCATAATTTTTTTACTAAGAGTTTTAAAACAGTTATGTCATTGAATCAATGCCTTCTTCCCTGGGGATTTTTCATAACAACTTGCTTATATACAACATTGATTATAGGGTTATTTATGACACCAAACATCAAAAACATGAAAGTTACATAAAGGAAAATTATTATGTAAATTGTGATATGCTTATACAATGAAAGCATGGGTTGCCAATTGTAGTATGTTTTTTGTGATAATGGTTAAATACAATGAAAGCCACCGTGGTATGTAGAACAATGCCTACTGCCACACTGATATAATTATGTGTAAACCTTTGTGTAGGTATTGATTAAATGACATAAAAACTTTTTATTAAAATTATAAAACCACTTTTTATAATTTCTGTTTGTATCCACACATAACAACAAAGTCACTGAAAGAAACACATTGGAATATGGGTAGCTATATGCAAGTGTTATGATTAGATCTGTTATCTTCATTTCAGTTCTTACACTTAAGCATATCATAAAATGAACACACATTTAGCATTTCATTTTCTAAAAAGTATAAGAGATAACATTATGTAGCACTATAAAACTTCAGCCTGAGAGTCTCTCTGTGTACTTTTTTTTTCCAGACAGCACAACCCCTTGCTCTCCTCATTCAGAAATGTAAAAGAACTTACACAATTTAATGTCAATTAACAGACAGATCAATGTGCTTTCTTCAAAGCAGAGGGGCCTAAAATGAGACAGAATTACAAATGAGGGACCCCTTCTTCCCTGTGGGTCATGCTTTGAACTACAGTCTCAAGAAGTTTTAAATTACTTAGAAACAGACTCAACATGAAAGGCCTTCCCAACCATAATAGCAAAAAATTGTGGCAGAAACAAATACAAATTATAATGCCTGATTATGGGTTCTGTAAAACCCAAAAAAAGTAATCAGGATATCCAGAACCCAACAAAGAATCATCTTAATTAGTAGGAATGCATTACAACCAATAGAGTCAATTAAGACTTCTCTTCCAACTTTGCAATTACAAGATAAATGCTCCAAAAGAAGATTCCTTTTTTTTTTTTTTTTTATTCCAGTAACTCAAATTTCCAAATTTCTTTCCAAAAATCAGCTTGATTTTCCTGCTCTTTGGATATGTTTAAATTGTAAGCAATGTACAAAAATATTTATTAAAAATATGTAGCCTTTAATGACTTCAGATATGTCAATCAGTAAGAAAAAATAATTTGCTGCATAAAAGATTGGCCTACTAGTTAAGGTTTTAAATTATATGGAATCTATGATAGATAGATAGATAGATAGATAGATAGATAGATAGATAGATAGATAGATAAAGACAGAGTACACATACTTTCAAGTACTTATACCATTCTGTTTAGATAGCCACCTTAAAACACATGCTTACAATTTTACATAATTTACCTCCTTGGAAATATAATCAATAGAAGAGAATCAGTGCATGGAAAACTTGAGGACTAAACATAATATTCTTTAATACTAAATGGGAAAAATACTATTGGATGGGTGATAGAGTTAGATGTACCTTTAGAAATGCTCTGCCA